CCAGGCGCTCCCCCGCGTGCAGCTTCCCCTGGCGAGCGAGCCGGCCCACGGCGAGCGCGCGGAGCCGGCGGCGGCGAGCGAAGCCGGCGCTGCCGCCCGGCAGTGGGTGATCCGCTGCCCGATGGACTTCAAGGGCGAGTCGGCCTCGCCAGCGGTGACGAGCCCGGACGGGCTGCACGGGCTGCACCGCGTCTCGCGGCACCCGATGCTCTGGTCGCTCGCCGCTGTTGGGCTCGGTGCGGCTCGCTCCTCTCCTCTTGTCGCCGGCCGGAGCCGGGCACCCACCGCGCCCCTCCTTCCCTTCCCCCCTCCCCCGCAGGCGGCGCGCTGGCCGTCCCCTCGGCGCCGCAGGCAGTGTGGCTGCTCGGCCCTGCCGCGATGGCGCTGCTCGGCGGAGCGCACATCGACTACCGCCACCGCCGCGGCGAGGGAGGCACGCTGAGCGCAGAGACGGAGCGCGTCACCTCGCTCCTCCCATTCGCTGCGATGGCGGCGGGCGCGCAGGCCGAGGGGGCGCTGGGCTCGCTGCAGGCGCTGGCACGCGAGCTCAAGGTCGAGAATGCCGTCCTGGGCGTGCTGCTGGCGGCGAGGTGGGCGGTGACAAGGGGGAGGTAGGCAGTGGCAGAGGCAGCGCCGGCGGAGGGGTGTGTGTGAGGCCGCCCGCGACGGAGTAATGGAAATCTCTGCGCAAGAACAGTAGATCGTTGGGGTAGAGACAGTAGATTAAGACTGGAGATCCTAGCGGATCTCTCACACGGACACGCCCAAGTCTCGCCAGTAGATCCCTCCACTGTCCGGTTCCCCATTCAAGACTAAAGAACGAAGATTGAGATTGTGGATTGCAGATCGCTGAGCAGCAACACGGGCCAAAATGTGGGAGATAGGAGATGGAGAATGCAGATTGTAGATCCTAGCGCCCAGCCATCCGCCCCAGATGTGAGATCGAAGATTGAAAATGGAAGTCGTAGATTGCTGCCGGCGGCGACAGTGGCCAAGTAGAAGATTGGAGATCGGAGATGAGAGACGGTCAGTGTGAATGAATCCAAATTGCATCTCCTTGAAGGTTTGAGCCCCCCTCCTCCCCCGGGCCCCCGAATCGAGATTGGAGATTGGAGATTGGAGATGGAGATCGGAGATCTGACTGAATCCGGCCTAAGATGACGACGTTGGGAGATTGGAGATTGAAGATGGAGATCGGAGATCTGACTGGATCCCCGGCCTAAGACGACGCTGTGGATTAGAGAGTATTGGAGATGGGGAGATCGGAGCCCACCCACCCCCTTAGTGGCGTTGACAGATGTTTTATAGATGTCGACGGATCGAGTATCGTAGCCATCTGCAAGGTGGCACGAGCGCACTAAAGGTGAGTGACGCGCGAGAGAGGCAAAGTGAAGGGCGGTGGAGGAAGTCGTGCAGCGGCGGAGGCACTTCGCCTGCGCCATTGCGAGGGAAGACCATGTCGACCGACTCGAGCCGTGCGCGTCGAGCGCAGGCGTCCTCGTCGAGGCGAAAGACGGAGGACGGCAGCTCTTTGAGTCGCACGACGTGGTAGTCACGCTCCGGGTCGCGGATGCCGCACGAGGCACACGACGCAAGCGGAAGCCCGTGGCACATCCGTTTGCCCGCCCACTCGCACAAGA